AGATAAATAATAAGATAAAAATATTCGCCGGAAAAAAATCCGCACACCTACCGTCAACTTCACTGTGTATTTTTATTCATTTCCAAAATTTTCATTTCCATTGGTTCATCAACACAGAAGATATAATTCTTCACGATGATGGTAAATTTTAATACACGTCGTACATGTATTTTATTTCATTTTAATAGATTGTAACTTCATCTGACAACAAGACTCGTTTTCATTGATATACTTTACCTAAACATATACTGAATGTTGAATGTCAACCGCCTCATTTCTCCCCCCCCCCCCCCCCCCGGAATCTAATATTGTACAAAATCGAATTTGCATTGGAATTGATTAAATGGCTTTTGAACGGTAGGCTCGTAAAATTGATGTTCTTTCCGAAATTTATAAAGAGAAAGAACAAATCGCCGGTGCAAATAATGACCAAGCCACGCGGAAGTCTCCTGACTATGTTCCTTGGGTTAGGGCTTTATGCGTATTCATGTGCAAAGAAGTGCAAAGAAGACCCCTGTAACATTTATATTTTCTATTTGGATGGCTTACTAGCACACAAACTAAACAAGACCCGAAGGATGGTTTATATATTATATTATAATTATGTGTTGCATCCAAGTATACACTCATAAACTCACAAACATCAAGTAAACATACACACAGTAACAATAACGATATTTGATATTAAAGGCGTGGCTTATTATATCTTGTAGACTTGCTTACTACATCCTCCTCTATCTTTAGTTTAGAACTCATCAATAAAATCAATGAACTTAAATTATCAAAACTTTAAATTTAAATGTGCAAACATATTGTAATAAGAAATATTTTTTCCGTATGAAATAAGCTATACAGCAAGTCTATGGTTATAAACTCTTCTCCTTTTTCAGCAGAGTTCATTAACCAATGCGATTTACTCTAATCAGTGTACTAGGCATTTGTTTCAACGAAGTAATGATAAATATAATGTTATTGTTAATTGTCATATCTTTTCCATTTTTCGTAATGTCACAAAATATCAAGCAAATTACATTATTATCACAACATTTGTTCAAACAACTAGCATTGTTATCAAAAGAATGATTTGTTTTTTTGTTTTACCACACAAGAACCAATTATAACGTAATTTAATAAAAACCAAAAGTATTAATTTCACGAATAACAGAATGTTCTCACATACGTTATCATTTTTTCCTAAGATTAATAAATCCAGCAAGCGGATATAAATGATACACTGCTATGATAGCAAATATAATTAGGGCATTATTATGGCCCACACATTTGAGTCATTAACCCTTATAGCTGTAACGAGAAATGGTATCATAGATTAAACCATTTTCTTTTTTTAATCTTCATAACGTCTCGGCGGTCGGCGTTTCCTCTGCGGCCTATTTCTAGGTAAAGATGTATTATCTACAGGTTTCGTCTGCACCGGCTCTTGATCTCCATGAACATATCCTAAATTTGGGAAACGTCCGTGTGATTTCTTTTCCTCTATGTTTTGATTGTAAGCATAGATCCTTTCATAGCAATGATTATTCCGGGGGTAGGGTCAAACGCTGTTTCAAACTTATTCCGTTGTTCCCGTTTTAATAACACACGATCTCCCAGTTTCAAATTATTTCGCTGAGCTCTACGTTTCTTATCAGCGTATATTTTGTTTTTCGTTTTTGATAGACTGTCCTTGTCACGAATATCTGTGTCTTTGTTATCAAATGTCATTTTTGGTAATTTTGTCTTTAGTTTTCGATTAAACATTAATTCACTAGGAGCTGTTTGTGTAGTTGTTTGTGGTGTGTTCCGAAAATTCATAAGATATCTACTTAACGCTCTTTTATAATCTTGTCTGGACGCTATCGCTGTTTAATTGCTTTTTGCAGTGGTGCCATAAATCTCTCAACTATTCCATTTGCCTGTGGGTGCAATGGAGTGATTCGTTTATGTTTGAATCCCGAATTATCAGCAAATTCTCTGAATGCGCGACTTTGAAACGGAGGTCCATTGTCCGTTTTCACTATTTCTGGATATCCGAATATCGAAAATATCGCCTCTAATCGCGGTATGACTGTATCTGCGGCTGTCGATTTGATTCTTTCAACTACTGGAAACCTACTGTAGTCACATATATAACAACTAGTAACATGTAACCGTCTGGAAATGGTCCACAAAAGTCACAACTGACTTCAGAAAACACATTTGGTGGTAGTGATGTTGGTTTAATCGGTCTGGAATAATTCTTGTTGATGCAGCTTGGCATACAATGCATGCTCTACAAATTTCGTCTACCATTCTATCCATATGTGGAAACCAGCACTATTCACGTAATAATCCTTTGCATTTCGATTGGCCTTGGTGACCTTCATGCGAAAGCATAACAGTTTGTTTTTGCAGACTTTCTGGTATGCAATGTTTTGTACCTCGTAAAAGCACAAATCCATCTTCCGTATATGCAACTGCAAGTTCTTGATTTTTATTCAAATTCTCGTATAACCGAAAATTTTCATCTAATTTGCATTTTTGAGTTTTCCAGTCATTTTGTTCTAACGCATTTCTTACACAGCTTAATATACAGTCCGTTTCGGTAGCTTTTGCTACATCTGACAGCTTCAATGCATCTGGCAAAGCGTTATCAGTAATAAAGCTGATATACTGCTCGGCTACTGTATTTGTTTCGTGTCTTGCATGTGGATGCCTGGAAAGATAATCTGATATCATCATTTTACCTGGTCTATAAACTGTCTGGAAATCATACGTTGTCAACTTCAAACGCCAACGTTCTAATCTTGGTGATTGTATTGTCTTGATATTGTTGAAGATTGACTGAAGTGCAGCATGATCTGTTATCAGTTTAAATTTCTTGCCGAATAAATACAAATGGAAATGCTGAATCATGATGACAGCACTCAAAGCTTCTCTTTCTGTTTGAGAATATCGCGTCTGAACTGAATTGTATGCTTTGCTTCCATATGATACTATTTTACCGTTTTGAATAAGTATTCCTGAGCATCCAACTGGACTTCCGTCGACCCAGAGTTCAGTTTCCTTTCTCGGATCGAAATATGTCATGACCTTATCACTAATTAAGATATATATATCTTTTAATGATGTGAACGATTTTTCTTGGTCGGCAGTCCATTCAAATTTTACACCTTTATGTGTAAGTCGTCGTAATGGTTCTGTTAAACTTGAATAGCCATCTATGAACTTAGACAAATAGTTCGTGAGACCCAGAAATGAACGGATTTCGGATATTGATTTTGGTCTGTCCATAATTTTCACTGCATCTACTTTGTCAGGATCGGGTGAAATTCCGGATTCGGAAAATACATATCCGTAGAACTTGATTTTAGATTGTCCGAATGAACATTTTTGGCTGTTCAGTGTGAGGTTTCGATCTTGAAGACGTTGCAGTAAAGCTCTAAGATTAGCGTCGTGTTCTTCCTGTGTCTTACCGAAACATACGATGTCGTCGGCAATATTCAATATGCCTTTAAGACATTGAAGTGCTTGACGAAGCTCGTTTTGGAAAAGTATCGGTGCTGCGGACACCCCGAAATTTAGACGTTTATACCTAAACAGTCCAATATGTGTCTGAAACGTTGTCATTACACGTGATGCTTCGTCCAATTCAATTTGATGGAAAGCTTTGTATAGATCTAGACGTGAAAATACCGTTGCGCCGTTTAACGTCAAGATGATATCATCCACCGTCGGGCAAACATTTTTCTCTGTTTTGATTGCGGTGTTAGCTTTTCTCATATCTACGCACACTCTCACTTCATGCGGAGCATTAGGTTTCGGAGCCGCTACTAAGTTCGAAACCCATGGTGTCGGTAAACCTATAACCTTTTCAATAACATCCATTTCCTCTAAACTTTTCAGTTCCTTTTCGACTTGCGCACGTACATGAAATGGAACTCTCCTAGGCGGTTGAGCTACAGGTACAACACTTTCATCAATATGAAACTTAACTTTTCTGTCTTTCAGACATCCTAAGCCTGTGAAAACTTGAGAATATTCGTTAATAAGTCCTGAATATGTGTCTTTGCTTTGAACTGATTTTTGAACTGATTGTATTTGCGGTAAAATTCCAAGCTCTACCGATAATTCATAACTGATCAATGATTCTGTGTTGCCTTTAACAATATGGAAATCTTTTGTCATAAATTTTGAGTCCGACTCCACAAGCAGGAAACATTTGCCTATGAGTGGAAGTGGGGATTTCTGCCCAAATGCAAATGCTTTTGTTTTCATTTTCTTGATTTCTCAACTAATAATCATTTTCTTGAGGTCGATTTCGCTAATAATATTTACGATGAACGCTATCTATTAACACATAAACATCTACGCCATTTAATTTAATGCATTTCTTTGGCACTTTTTTCCCATCTGATATTTTAAATCCAAATAAAACATCGCACTCATTTGAACTAACACTCGACGTGCTTGCCTCTGATAAAACTTGTGAATCCGACTGTTCATCATCGATTAACTTCACCTTGTTTTGACGTTTTCTGCAGACCGATATGAAATGATTCTTCTTATGACAGTAGTTACATTCTGCTCCGATAGCAGGACAACGTGACATATGGGGATACTTTCCTCCACAATTTCGGCATTTTTTATTTCGTTCTAGAGGGTAGTTTCGCCTTCCCGACGACGAACTTGCTTCTGGAATAGTTTGATATGAACGTTGCTGATAACGTTTTGGTGCGAATCCCTTTGCTTGACGGCTAAATCGAGGATTGCTTTTTACCCGCACTACTTGCTGACTACTTGTATCCTTTGACATATTTGCTGCTTGAGTTTTTGATATTTCCATGGTTCTCATTTTTGTAAGTAAGTCATTAAGTGATTTATCCGGATCTTGTAAACACTGCATTCTCATGTTTTGTGAAACAACACCCTGTATGATCTGGCTTTTAATTTCTGAGTCAATGTCCGAAAATTCACAATTCTTAGCTTTCTGGCGTAATCTTGTTGTAAACTGGTCGATAGATTCCCCATGCAATTGCTTCATATTACGAAATTCGAATATTTCGAATTGTGTGTTTTTTCTTGGCTTAAAGTATGTTGTCAATCCAAGTTTCGTTTCCTCGTAGTTTTCATTGTCTTCTCTTAAATTCAATGTATCATAGATATCGTAAACATCATCTCCTGCATAATGAAGTAACAGTGCTTTTTTTCGTTTTCTAGTGTTTATGCCCAGTCCAACAAATAAGTTTTCTAATTTATCCAAATACTTTTCCCATCGTACTCCCAGAGAATTTTCATCAGCAAAAACATCAAATTTCGGAAAACCAGGTAAATTTTCCATTTTCAAATCTGTTTTTTTTTCACAGAGTCAGTTTAAATTAATCTACAGTTTTTTAATATCCGATCCTCGTCGCCAATGTAACATTTATATTTTCTATTTGGATGGCTTACTAGCACACAAACTAAACAAGACCCGAAGGATGGTTTATATATTTTATTATATGTGTTGCATCCAAGTATATATACACTCATAAACTCCCAAACATCAAGTAAACATACACACAGTAACAATAACGATATTTGATATTAAAGGCGTGGCTTATTATATATTGTAGACTTGCTTACTACAACCCCCTTAAGTTGTACAAAATCAAATTTGCAACGGAATTGATCAAAGGGTTTTTGAATGGTAGGCTCGTGAAAATAATGTTTTTCCTAAAATTTACAAATCACCGGTGCAAAAAATGACCAAGCCACGCGGAAATCTCCTGGACAGATTACTTGGGTTAGGGATGTAGGCCTTTTCTTATGCAAAGATAAACCTCTCAAGTTGTATAGAATCGAATTGGCATTGGAATTGGTCAAATAGCTTTTGAACGGTAGATGGAGTAACATTCACCAATTCGTGTTTAAATGTGAAATTCTGCTCAACCTGGTGCTAAACGACATGGACGATAGCTTGCACTTTCCAGTACCGTCCATAAACATGCTCAATTAAACCGGCCTAGCAAAACTTTCAATTTTGTCGTTTTTGGTGTATCTTAAGGATTCTGTTGATCCCTATTTCAGTACATTTTTATCAATCATCTCGAACTTTTAAAGAATGTGTTCATCTACTAAATTTCATTCTCAGACGCAAATTGTTTTTATTTATTTCGTTTATCTCTTTATTGTCATTCATCAATATTCACAATTGCTTTGAAAACCTTAGCAATAACATCTAGTTAATTTTAAGTTGAGTTCATGGTTTCTTGTTTTAGAGTAAATGTTTTATAAATATGATATATTAAATAATCTTTGAATACTAGCTAGATAGAATAGTGATCATTTTAATTGAAACACAATATGTCATTTATACCTTAAACCTTAAAACGAAAAAAATAAAGATAATGTAGGAATTTATTTTAGAATTAAAGTAAAAGGAAATTGCGATTTGAGTCTATAGCATTTAAGTCTTACTAGAAAGGTTACTATAAATAAAGTTCTTTTTCTTGGCGTTAAAATCGATTGATATTCTACGTGACACACAAACAATGTTCTGATATCAGATATTTCTGAATGAATGGAATGTAAAATTGTGTATATATGTGTTCATATAATATTTATTATTCTCGAAGCTGTCAGGAGTGATCGTGCAGAGACCAATTCCAAATGAATGTCTTTCCCAGAAATTCTTTTATCATAGAAAATGTCTATATCTTTGACAGTCACGTTCCTGGTATTTCCCTGTATCCAGAGTGTCATTGAGTTTAATTGCTTTGTTCTCTTGGTCTAATTCTGTTCAACTGCGATGCGTATGTTAGCTGATTCATTCAATGATTTCTTGTATTAACGCAGATGGTAAAGGTTTTATTAAGAAACTTTAATGAAACTCTTGAGTCCATAATATGACATAATCACATCGCTGCAATGTATTACTCTTCTGGGTAGGTACTAAACTGGTCAAATAGAGTTTCAAAAAAGTTTAAAATCATTCAGAGATGTAACACAAATAAAACGACCCATCATTCCAAATTAAACAAATACATTGAATATAAAATATCGCTTTCTTTTTTTTTTAATATAAATTTTCACATTTAAGATATAAGTAAATAATAGCGTAATGAAATTAGGACATAAGATATTTAATATAAAACAAGAGGGTCCAGGGAGTCGTGGATCGCTCACCTGAAAATAGGTCAAAAGATCACAGTGGAAGCCCTTTCCACCCCGAAGCACAATTTGAAAACAAGGAACACCTTAATCTAAACATTTTTGTAAACTGTCACCCAGGTAATTTGTGTGTATATTTTTTAAAAATTGAACGAGTGGTTAAGATGTTGTATAAATGCGTTTTTCTTTCTAATATAAGAGTACAAATAGATGACTTTACATACCAAATATCAAAGCACTAGGTCCTGTGATTTTCGAGAAGAAGAATTTTTAAGATTTTCATAAATAACTCTAAATAAATCTAGTCAGGCCCCTGATCGGCCCTTTTGCTTCCAGGGGAAAAACTCGAAGAATCTTCACGAAGGACCACTAGATCAAAGCTCTAGGTCTATATAAGTCAAAGTGAAATTGATGACTTCCTGAAGGGGCCGCTTTCAACCTTTGTAACAACATGATGTTTCATATCACATACAAGACTCTAATCCTTGTACATTTTAACAAGATGATTTTTAAGATTGTCCTTAATTATTCTATATAAAATACTGGCGGACAGCTTTTGAACCTAGGCCATAATTTGAAAAGCCTTTGTAGAGGACCACTAGGTCATGTTACATACCAAATATCAAGGCTCTAGGTTTTGTTGATTTTGCCAACTTTTTTAAAGATTGTTTTTTTGAAATTGATAAGCCCCCTGGCGGGACCAGGGGCATAATTTGAACAATTTTTATTACCATCTTTATAGATGGCCACTAGATCATGTTACGTAACAATATCAAGACTCTGGGCCTGGTGCATTTTGACAAGAAGATTTTTTAAGATTGCCCTATAGTACTTTTTATGAAACTGATGAGCCTCCTGGCAGGGTTCCTTTTAACTCTAGGGCATAATTTGAACAATCTTTTTTAAGAACCACTAGATCATGTTACTTGCTTTACACCTGGTTTTGTACGATTAAAAAAATCTTTCCGTTGTCATGGCAACCAGAGTTCTTCAAGGAATTAATTATTTTAAGAACTTATGTAGAGGTTTATACAAGGAACATCCCTTGCAAAGTTTCAACGAATTTAGCCCAGTGGTTTAGGAGGAGTCATTTGATAAGTCATTTGAATGAAAAAGTTAACGCAAGGACGGACGTACAGACGGACGAAGGACGAAAGACACTACGGCGTCACAAAAGCTCGACAGGTGAGCTGAAAATAATTGAAAACAAGAAACTTCAAAGTTTCTGACGCCTAACTCATAACATTGACCTTTTTGAATGAAAGTATAAAACAGGTATTAAAAATCTTTATCATATACTTCTAACAATGTTTCCTTGCTAATTATATCTTATATTTTCCAGGCTTGTTAACATATGCAATTTGTCTATCAACGGGCCAAGAGACATTAATATGAAAATGAAAGATGACGAGAATTATTTCCATCAGATAGACGGTTATGACATATATTACAATATAATGACATAATTTCATGTCAACAGACATAATTTGAGTACTCTTATCCTGTAGTTTATGGATATTGATTGTTGTCTGGCCCAAATGTTTTTAGCCAGTATGACTGCTGTAGATGCTTTTTATTTATAAATATTTACCACATTTAACCTCGACAGACTTAAGACTTTTATTGTATAACGAACTATGTCTTTTATATAGTCAACATGTGTCACTTTGTTTGATATTCCAGAATTGTTTGTTGTGTTAAAGAATTGTTATTTACAGACACTGCAACTGGTAAAAGTTGTGTCATCTGACGTGTCAAGGGTCAAGGAAAAAGTTGTGATGTTTATTTTTACAAAATAAATGTAATACGTTATTTATTTTTGGTGACCTGTAAAGTTGCATTTAAAACAATGTCTTACAAAATTAATGATCTCCCTGTCTGACTCTTGAAATTGTGATTAAAAGCCAAGCGTGTTTATTAGAGTCATTTTCAAACTATTAAGGTAATCTCATTCTCGACCCGGTGTAAAGATATAGAAAGTTAAATATGAACGGTTGTATCTGATGAAACTTTAATGTTATACAAAATTAACAATTGTTACAAAGAGATACATGAAAAAGCAGAAATTAAGAGTATTTGCCAGTGTACGCACAAAATAGTGAAATGCAAGCATTTTTGATTAGATTTTAAATTTTTGTAAAGTGCAAATACGTATAATACAAAATAGTATAACATTAAAGTTTCATCAGATACAACCGTTCATATTTAACTTTCTATATCTTTACACCGGGTCGTGAATGAGATTACCTTAATAGTATAAGTATGCTGTCAGAATTTGTCTAATATCTCCGCAGAAAAAAAGAAACTTGAGGCAATTATGTATAAATGATATCATTGATACTTAAAAGCTTTATTTCTTTTTCAGTGCTATGAAATATATTTAGGCTTAGTAAATGGATGCTTGCATTCTTTTAGGATAAATTGTGTGTTGGGTACACCCCTGAGTCAGAAAGTAAATAGACACAAATGTTATAGGTAAATCAGGATGAACAAGTGGGTTGGGCAGGGGATTAAGAGTTTTAAGAGAAAGTCATTTCAGTCATTAACCAGTTTTATATGTTTCATATTTTGTACTTCAAATGAAAATTTACCGTAATGATTTAATTGTTTTTTGTTTTTATTTGTTGTTGACATCTTGGAGTTATGCATAATAATTATATAAGATAATAGTTACAGTTCAGAATTTCTTAGAACATTTTCAAAAAAAATAATACTGAACTACATTTAAATATTGAACATTGTTAAAGAAGAGTGTGGGTCTGAAAGTGTTACATGTATGTGGTGAAATGTTTTCATGTTATATCTAGTACTGATAATTTCAGAATATGAACAGTAATTATTACTGTAAGAGAAGGGAGCACCTTTGAATTCCTTCTTTTTGTATATATGGCTATATTTGTAATTGTATCTTGCAAGTTCACTACAATATCATGTACATGATAATTTCCTACACATTTTATGAATAAAAGGGGCATGCCTCCAGATCTTTTGACAACAAATTTAAGGTATTTTTTCTTCAATCTAAATCTGGAAATTAATGCTAAATTCTAGAGAATACTTTGAACCTTATTTACCGACTAGACTTTTGTTATGGAAATACATGCGAATAAGTAAACTGATGTTTTTACTACTATTTATGATCAAAACAAGTGTCTGAAATGTTTTTATGTTAGGTAAACTGTATCAATA